AAAAGATGAAGAAGCTACACGAAAGAGTGCCAAATGAAAGAACAACAAGCTCAAGCAAAACGCAGTCACCAAAGAAAAGAAGAAGAAGCCACACGAAATCGTTTTATGGGTGGATCTGCGAGGAAAATACAAGAGACAAGAAGAAGGCAAGTGAAAACGCAAACCGCCTAAAGAATAGAAAGTCACACGAAACTTTGATCAGAGATTGACGGCAAGAACTAACTTTGACATTTCAAAGGTTCCGTCTCTTGCGAAGCTCAAGAGGACTCAGACCCTTTGCGAAGAGCAGTGCTGAATTAAATCAAAATTCAGATGGACCTTCAGGTCCCCTGCAAACCTTTCAAGCCTCCCTTCCCCCTTCAAGCCCCCCTTGAGCCCTCTCCCTCAAACCCCCTTCAAGTCCCCTTGAAGGCCCCTTGAAATCTCCCTAAGCTCTTTCAAGTCTCCTTTCAAGCCCCCTTTCAAGCCTTCTTCTTGTTGGCCGCCGACATGGGTTTGTCCTCCTTCTTCTTGTCCAAAGCCCGTGCGTCTGCAAAACGCGGTCCTTGACTTCGTACAGTGCCTGCATTCCACATTCTAAACCCCTAAAGTCCAACAAACCTCGACTCTCACCCCCCAAACAGCCTAAACCCTTCAAGACGAAACTAAACCCAGAACCTCAAAAAAGGAACCTCTAAATCCCCAGAACCCTTGAGTCGCCTGCGACTCCGCCCTCCATGTGGAGGATGTCGGACACGTCCTCCACCGCCCCCACCGCTTTCGCCTCGCAGACGGCAAGCTTTCTGTTTGCTGTGACCTTTACTGCTGTGTGCCGCCTGTGCTGCTGTGTGCCGCCTGTGCTTCTTTCTGCCACCTGTGCTGCTATGTGCCGCCTATGCTGCTATGTGCCACCTTTTACTGCCACGTGTGCTCCCTCGTCGGACAGGCTCCCCAAGCACTAATGTGGCAGCTTAAATAATTGGAATTTTGGGGGTAGTATTCTACAATTGTACCCACAATAGTATTGGACATTACAAACCATGAATCTTGAACTCAATTGTCAACACAAACCAAACACGGCCTTACACCAAAACCAGGCCTCACTCCGAAACCTCCCCAATGCAGACCATGTGAAACACGATGTTTAGGTTTAGGATTTAGCGGGGTTTAGGGTTTAGGTCCTAAACAGGAAGATCGATTTGAGTTCCGCCATCTATAGCAGGCTGACTCCAAACCCAAGCATCGTGGACTGTCGCTGCAGCGCAGCGAGTCATGTTGACGGCTGCAGGCATGGCGGCCATCGTGACTGGCAAGCAAAGCTGGGTGCCTTGATCCTAAAAACGGGCAGAGACGGAGCCCAAACCTCCGAAATCCGAAAAGACCCTGAAATGCAAACGATCTGAGGGCCCGGCGACAAAAGCCCGCCCCGCCTCCCCTCCGCCCGGCAAACCCGCCCCCACAAGCTTGAACCTGCGAGCGCGGAATCTTCACGCCCTTCGGTGTGCCGTCCCCTTGGGGGGTCACCCTTAACTCCCTTGAAGTCCCTTGAAGCCCTTCGAAAACCCTTGAAGAACCCAGAAGTTTATGCACTCCGATCGTGCCTTTTGTGGCAACAAGGCTCGGTGCGAGGGAGATCGACATCGTTAGCTGGGTTTGTTCTAGGAGGGTTTGCTCCAGCGCATCATCCCAGATTTGCGCTTTGTCCTCGACTATTTCCAGCATTTGGTTGACATTGACGTGGAGGAGTTCGGTCATCACGGGCCGCTCGATTTTTACGAGCCGTACCTCAGGGAGACCCGGGACTTCCTGCGCAAGGAGCAGCTCTACCGCGACCGCCTCGTGCGCGAGATGCCTGCCCATGTTCAGCAGGCTCCCTTAAGCAAGGAGGAGAAGCAAGTGCGCAATTACCTCCTGTGTCGCTTCCGGCTGGCCCGCCTGAGCGCCTTTGAGCCGGAGAATACCGAGGTCATCGAGCAAGAGCTCAGGCGAAAGAGTCTTCTGGAGTCTACGTTCCTCTTTGACCGCTTCTTGGCAGAGCTTCGGGCTTACTACCTCAGCGAGGTGGCGGTGTCGGATCTGACAATCTCCATCACAGAAGGGCATTTGACGGCCAGGTCGGACCAGGATAGTCGACTGTATCTCGCACGAGCTGGGCCAATGTCTCGAGCATTTTGCCAATCACGTTTAGTCTCGGAGCCGGGGCTGGGCAAGCCCTTGGCACGACAGGGCACCTGGACCAGGGCCGGCGACCCGCACAGAGAACGGCCCTGATCAAAAAAGAAGCCGTGCAAGATCCTTCCTGTCCTTGCTCCTGCTTGTCTTGTGCTGTTATGTCCGCTCAGGTCCAGCGCAGCAGGGTTTCTTTGAGGGTTTTTTTGCGGGGGGTTTGGCATCGCTGAGGCTGTCAGGTCATGTGCAAGGGTAGGCCGGGGGGTTGCTGGGCGGTTGGGGGGCGAGGGCCGGGGCGGGGCGGTCGTCGCGGGAGCCCAGAGTGCAGCCCGTAGGTCGTTTGAGTGTTTGGGTTCCGGGTTTCCCCAGTCCCTAACCCTTGGGTTACCCTAGGCCGCCTCTCACTGCCGTGTCTTGTTGCCTACCCCCGCCGCCCTTGCCTTGCCCTCGCCTTCCTGCTCAGGTTCGGACTTTCTTCGCACGAGCCGATCCTCAGAGTGCTTGCCGGGGGTTTGGTGGATTCTGAGGTTGTTTGTGAGTGTGCAGTGCATGGCGCGTAGGAGTGCAGGAGTGTCTTGCCTCTGCCACCCCCCAGCCTCCCGTAAACTAGAGTGTCCCTGCGTGCCCGATGCCACCCGGGAACTCCGGGCCCTTCGCCGCGGCGCTCAGGTTGCTTCGCCTGCTCCGTCATCTTCGACTTTCGGACGGCTTGAGCCCTGGGACTGCTCTCTAGGGCTTCTGAAGCTGCAGTGCTGTCTGAGAGCGCCGGTGGGAGTTTTTTTGGAAGTGCCGTCATCAAGAGCGTTTGTTGTGAGTGCATTTTGCATCTCGAGATTTCCTGAAGCCCCTGCTGCTTCGGCCATGACGAGCTCCCGAGCACGGGAGTTGGCCGCGGAGCTCGTGCTGGATAGAGGGCTGACACTGCTGGCTCGTCTGGGGTTCCGAGTCTTCTTGGAAGTCTCCGAGCAGGCGTGCTTCAAGAAGATGCGCATCCTGACGCATCCAGACAAATGCTCTCCCGAGCGCAAGGCGCGGGCCGAGGAAGCGTTCAAAGAGTTGGACAACCTCTGGGAGGACTTCATGCTCATGCCGGCGGGCATCTTCGACAACCTCCGTCGCACGACTCGGCGCTCGCCTCGGGAGGAAGCTTTGTTCCAGGAGCTCCGTGACCCTTCGCCGGAGGCCGCTCCGACAGCTACATCACTACATCGCCTCCGCCTCCGACAAGCGCATCGCCTCCCCCGCCCAAAGCTGCAGGACCGGAGCCCGCTCCCAAGGCGAAGGCCGCGCCGAAGGCCAAGCGAGGACCGGGTCGGCCGAGGAAGAATGCGCCTCCGCCACAGGAGGCGTCCAGTTCGGAGCCGAGCACCGGAAAGCGCAAGAGGGCTGAGGGGGATTTGGTGAAGGAGCCGCTGAGCCGCGAAAGCATCCGAAGCTTCATGGCCCTCCGCGCGTCGAGAAAGGCTGTGCTCCCCAGCGGCTACACCCTGTTCGAGACGCTGGGGTTCTTCATGCTGCGCGAGGCCGACGGCTACATGAAGGTGGCGTGGCGCGACAACAAGCTCCCGGGTGACTACCTCGGCCGTCGCTTCTCGGGCGTGGACCACGATGCGGACCCAGCAAAGGAGGTCGACTTCTTTGACGTGCCCCGCAGCCACGCCTGCACCTCGGCCTTCGCGCACTGTCGGCTCGTCAAGGAGATCTGCCGGAGGGGCATCCAGGGCTGGGTCGACGTGGACGTGGTGAACAGCGTCTTCTCCCAGTTCGAGGCCAACTTCCAGGAGTGCCCCGAGGTCGTGAAGCGCTACAACCGGGACCGCGACGGCATGATCGCGGCGGTGCGCGAGGCCTACGGTTGTTCCAAGGACGTGGCGAAGCGGCTCTTCATCCGCTTGGGCTTCATGGGCCGGATGGAGTCGTGGCTCGAGGACTTCGGCCTGAAGAAGAACGAGGGGCCTCTGGAGGCGGAGCTGGCCTGCTTTGGCCAGGACATGCGGAACTTCGGGGAGGCCCTGGCGGCGAAGCATGCTCATTGGTTCGAGCTCTTCAAGGGCAAAAAATACCCCCTGGGAAGCTTCATGTCCGCGATCTACTTCAAGCTCGAACGGCAGTTCCTCGACCGCATGATCGCGGCGGTCCCTGAGCCCGCAAAGGTCCTGAGCTACGAGCACGACGGCCTCGGCATCCAGCTGAACGGCTTGAGCGAGGCGAGCCTCCTTGCGGCCCTGCACGACCTCGACCCGCTCCTGCAGGCGGCGATCAAGCCGCCTCACGACCCGCTCAAGCTGGCCAAGGAGCAGTTTCCGGAAGAGGAGTGGGAGGCGGCGTCGAGCCTCTCGTTCGATGTGGCCGAACTGCACCGGGCGCTCTTGGTGACTCGACGTTGCATGACGGCGCCTATGGAGGACGAGCCTCCCCCGCCCAGTGCCACGGAGAACGCTGTCGAGTTCGGCAAAGTCTAGTCTTGGCGGCGCGCTTGGAGGGCGATGTCATCGTGCCGGAGGGCGACAACGTCTTCTTGCAGTACCTGCCGGACAAAGGGCGCTGGGAGGCCCAGAAGATCTGCGACAAGGGCCTGCAAGTGGGCATTGGGGGCTGGCTCAGCACGTCTAATGCATTTCTCTGGTTCGCCTGCACTTGGTCCATGCAAGAGATCCGCCAGACCTGGCCGTGGCTTGTGAAAGACGCACAGAAATACATCGCATGCTTCGAAGTGCTCGCGCAGCTCGCCCTGCTGCAATGCACCTACGCACGCCTGCGACACAGACACCAAAGATTCTGCCTGCCTGAAGGCCACAGACAATAGTCCAAGCGAAGCCGGCCTCAACAAACTCTTCAGCGCGGCCGAGCCCATATAGCTCACTTCCTCAAGCTCGCAGCCCAATGGGCGCATGCCCGCGGAGTACATCTGCTTCTCACGCACCTTCCCGGGGAAAAGAACACCTGGGCGGATGAACTCAGCCGCAACAAGCTTGCACGCTTCCAGCGCAGAGAGACGGAGCGAGTACACGTCTCGCTCGCCCAGCTAGCGCTCCCGGCCACGGGCCTGCGCCTGCACCCTCCAGGTTACTCCTGGCCGCCTGCGCTGCAAAACGCCGTCGCTTCGGACAAACTACAGCCGCCGCCTGCCAGAAAAAAGCCGCTGTCAGCTAGCCCAGCAAACGCGCACAGCCTGACTTCTTGCTAGCACTGCCCTTGCCTGCTCTCGCTCAGGCCTGAACCGCAGCGCCGAGCCCAGCTACTGCACTCTGCTGCCAGCCTGCCGCGCGCGCCGCCCGACCGCACGCAAACCTGACACTTTAAGGTCACGCCGAGCCGCCTGTCTCCTCGCCTGCCTTGGGCCGCCTGCCCCGCAAGAGCCACGCCAGGCCAGCCCGCACGGTGACCCTCACGCAACAGCCTCAGTCTGCGGCAGCAGCGCCCGCGACGGTGGGGGCTTCAAGCTTGCAGCCTACGGGCACTGCTCAGGTCTGAAGTGGGGGCCCAAGTCGCCCGCTCGCGACCGGACTCCGAACCCTGAGCAGCACCCGTGGAAAAAAGGAGAGAGCGCTGCATGCATTGTCGGCGGTTGACTAGAGTACATGAACATACTAGAGAACGCTCCACGTAACCTTTTCCTTTTATGTTATCGTGGTGTTTTCTAGCTTGTTGCTTGCACGCATGGTCAACGGCAGCTCATGTAGCTCTTTCGGCTGCAGACACGCATGCGCATGGACATTTTTCACACACCGCTCCCACCCGCCCGTGTGATGCTTTACGCTTGCTCCGCCTGAGCTAACGCTAACCTCAGACGCACGCCTTGCTCATACCTAGTAGTTTCACCAAGACGGGGGGCCCAAGTCGCCCGCTCGCGACCGGACTCCGAACCCTGAGCAGCACCCGTGGAAACAAGGAGAGAGCGCTGCATGCATTGTCGGCAGTTGACTAGAGTACATGAACATACTAGAGAACCCCACGGTACCATAGCAGTGCGCTTTGGCCCCACCTTGGCCAGCCCCTTTCAAAAATTGAGGGGTCCTTTTTACGGGTTTGCCTTGCCAAGCCCTTGTAAACTAGCGCACCCTAGTCGACCTTCTGTTGGGAACCCTTGTGCACCTCGTCGACCCGAGACCCAACAGCCTCGGCCCACCAGCGGCCACGGTACCATAGTTCTTTCGAGGAAAAAGAGGAACAGAGCGCAACGTGCTTTAACGGGAACATTAGCTGCCCCCACTGTAACTGTGACCTTTATAATAAAACCTTTTCGTCTCTCCCCTCAAAATTTCGAACTCCAGCATTACAGCTTAGTAACGGTATGCTGGTGCACCACTATTTGTGGTGCGAGAAGCATCTCTCAGTTTGGTTTTAGGAGAGGCATCAGACACTACCAAGTATATTATGACAACAAAGCACACAACTTATGGAACCACATACACCGCGAGAGCCGCCAGCGGCAAGCCGGGAGGCCACGACTCCCAATCTCGACTTCTCCAGAATTTTTTCGCGCTGCATTGCTTAGATAACCGCTACAATTTAGATCACAGTGGCCACGAATCTCGCAGTGCGTCAGGGGTCAAACAAATTCATGACAATTGCCGGTCGCTAGACCCAGGCGACATCAACTCAGAAACGATCGCCGGTGTCAGTCACGCCGGGAATATCGTAGCTGGATTTCCTCTGTGCTGGAGAGTGAGAAATTTACCCTAGCCCACTCCCGGCGGCCCCTGAAAAGGTTAACTAACAGTCCTGACCAGCTCCGCAGAGCTTATTCGTCAAAAAGCCTCTTCCGGACTTTCAGCACTTGTCGAGGTTATCTGCAAGCTGCCAAGCCACTATTTGTTCTGGTTGGCGATTAAACAAACTGCGACGTTGTCTTTGGATTCGTTCGTATATCAGGCCAAGTCAGTTTGGATCGAACGAAGATGTATGAAGGCACCAGTCAGAAAGGTAGAGGATACTTTACATCGACCGTGCAATCACAGATCTTTAATTTCAACCAAACCCAGATAAACCCACCCTATATATGGCCTTTGAAAAAGCCATGCTTCAACGAACACAAAATGAGCCCTGAAACCGCCTGTGAAAGCCACTTCTAAAACACGGATCTTGTCAACAACCCCTCAGAGGGCCCAGCGATCTGCTTCTTGGAATTGTCTGCCGTTGACTGGATCCGAAGTTGGACTTAAAACGCTTTGCAATCACACCTCAACTTAATCCTTACACCCCATGCCCTAAAAGCCCGAAGCCTTTCATAGGTTGTTCTCAGGTCGTGGGATTTTAGCCAGCTTTACGCACCAGAGTCTTTTCCCAATCTTCTGAATGGGGGCGTCTCGGCAATAGAGCCGTGCTGCTCGAACGTGTGCACATTAGCAACACTTTGCGCTGCCAAGATGCGGTACGTGGATCAACTCACAAAGTAGCAAACCCTAAACCCTAAGCAAAGCAGGACTCAGAAGGAACAGTGAGTAGGTTTCACTGACCTGAAGCTCTGCTCTGCCTGGCTCAGACATGTTACGATCACACCAGCATCCGGGTTGAGGCTTGTGGATAGGGCTTGAACAACTCCAAGATGTAAGCAAGAGACTGTATTCAGTTTGCATGAAGCTTTCCGAAATTTGTTCTGGAGGGTGGCTGTCGGAGTGCATGCCTTCTGGTCTGGCACCTTCCGAAGAACATGTTGAGACGAAGCAGGCGTTGAGCCTGCAGGGTTCCGCGCTTAGGATGTCCGGCGGATCTTTGACTTTGCTCAGGGCACGTGGCGGCGGCAGCTGGAAACAGCAGCCGTGGTGACTTCCTGGTTCGTCCTAAACATTGCCATCGCAAGTTCAACAAAGTGGATCTTCGTTCACGGCAAAATCTGTTTTCAGGATGTCACATTGAAATGACTTTGTGGTGAGAGCATTCATGACGCTGCCTGGGTAGCAGGACAAGGGATGTACCCGATATCAATTTCCGGTGGCTATCACAGCATCTTACTTGAAACAGCATTTTGCATGACATCCCTGCGTTAGCTGATGTTCTACTGGGATGTTGCCCTCACCAGCTCAGGTCATCCACATGATTTTTTCGTGGCTACTGTGCAGAGTGTACATATTTCAATTTCGTGGAGGTCTGGAAGGCAGCTGCCTTCAAGAACCAAAGTCTATGCGAGTTCTCTACCGCTGTGAAAGCCTTAGCTGTCCAACGTTGAACCCTGAACCCAAGCTCCCTAAGCCGTAAACCCTTAAGCCCCTCAAGCCTCCGCCAGGGAAATCCTTGGGACTTGCGCAACAAGCGCGGGAGATCATGCCACTTTCCCTTTGCTTTGCCCTTTCTGTGGCGATGGGCAATCTTTCTCTGAAGTATATCTATCCTTCCTTCAATCAGATGTTGGGACCCTTGAAGTAATTAGGGCTTTGGGGCTTTTGGGCTTGCATATTTCCGTTCACAGGATTTTGGGAGTAGCTTCCATACGTGTTGTCATGATAAGTAGCTACCAAGCTCCCAGACTACTCGCCGAGGATCCATGTCGCCACTGATCACAGTGCTGCTGGCAGTGGTGATGCAGCAGAAGCGATTTCCGCTTAAGACGTGGCTGTCGATGCCGGTCATTTGCGTTGGGCTCGCGGTTTGTAGTGTGAAGGACTCTGGTGTTAAATTGATGTGGCTCGCTGACATACTGAACAAACCCTCAACACCCTGGACCCTAAACTCTGCAAGCCTTAAGGGTCCCCGGGAAAATTGACCGGGTTGAACAGAGGAGCTTAACTTCAATGCGCTCGGTGCCTTCTATGCAAGCGGAGCCACTGTCCTTCGCGCGGTGAAAACCCTCATACAAGGAAGGCAGGCTTCGGGGTTTGGCGCTTTGGGTTTCAGGATGGCCTAGGCTTTCAGGATGAGGATTTGTCTTCGGGGTTTTCGGGTTTAGGGCTTCGGCTTCAGGGCATCGAGTTTCAACAGCGTCAAAGAAGGTCACTTTTGCTCCTGCTCTGACCGTGGCAGGCTCCTTTCCACCTCGCACCAGATGGATTCTGCATCTTGCCATCAGCCGGGTATGGGTTTCAGGGCTTCTGGGGCTTGGGTGTTGGGGTTCGGGGTTGGGGCGTTTAGGGTCAGGGTGTACGGCTGTCGGCTTGAGTGAACATTGGCACGCTGCCTCCGGCCAGATATTGCATGTGCGATACCCTCGCATGAATGGTCCATGCCAAGTGTTTTCCAATCAGCTCAGGTAGCTCTACTGCTTCGGTCTCAGTTGTTTTCGGTGTTTTTGCTTGGTGCAGCCCGTAACCCGCAAACCCTAAACCCAATCATGTAGCCAGCGGCAGTTTTCGTTGTCGGAATGCCTTGAAGGGTCGACTGGGCATCCACCTCCACTAAACCCTAAACCCTGAAATTCTAAATCCGCAAACCCGAAACCCGAAGCCGCCCTCCACGGAGTCCCATAGGTCCCACGTCTCCGTTCCTGTGCCAATTCCAGCGAAGCCGAGGCCTTTCCAGACCGCCGGGAGGATCTTAAAAGTAGATCCCCTCAACGGATCCATTTAGGATCCTTCCAGAGGTCTGAAAAGCTTTCCATCGCTCGCAAATAGAACGGTTTAGCTGATGCTCATGCCGGGGTGTCTTCGGCCCTGCCTGAGCTGGCCCGTTGGCAGAAGCTTGGGTGGGTGGCTCGCGAATCCACAGTCCTGGCTGGATAGGCTGCAAGGAAAACAGGGGACTTAGTGAGTAAGGGGGTTATAAGTAACTTTTGAGCAACTATTATAACCAGAACCAAAACCATAGCTATGTACACATATGAGTATAGCTCTCACCATAGCGATCATGGTTGCAAGCGTAGTGTGGCGACTCCTTGAGTCGGTTGCTGCTGGGGGAGCACGTCCAAAGCCAAGGGTTTAGGGTTTTGCGGCCGAGGTACTACATGGCACCCTGGGCAGCCATGTGGCTCTCGTTGATAATGCTAGTCTTGGAGGAGTGGAGATGTCTGTGATTTGTCAGCGGCTTCTGAAACCGTTGGAAGTGCGAAGCGCTATGATCGCACCACGTATGTCGAGGGCGGTGAGCCCTTGTTCTTGTTACTGGCGGTGTTGACGTCCTGGCTAGTTTATGCCAAGCTGCCTCAATGTAGATGCCTTCGGCTCGCTTCGTGTCGATGTGGCCAGGTTGGCGAAGAATGGAGAGGGCGGCGGAACTGGCGCTGGCCAAGTGCTTTTTCTCTTGCTGCTTTCAGGTGCCATGGCCAGATGGTCAACCTTACAGCAGTTTCGACTGGAACTCCTGATCTGCAAGTCTGAGGCTTGAACGCATGCCTCCTGAACATCGCCAACTTCTTGGTGACGTCCTACACAAGCCCCGTGCGGGGCTGGGGGCGTCCTGCCAAGTTGCAAGCTGATCAAATCAGATCAGGTCACTCTTCAAGTTCTTGGCAACGTCAAGAGCTGTCTCTCCATTGCGGTGTCTGTGGCGATTTTCAGGACGAGCTTGGCATATGCACTCCATGCGTTTTTTCCAGCAACCTTGTCCACTCAACATCGTGTAGCAAGGAATAGCCTGACTTTGGGGCAAGCCCTCGGAGTTTGCACCTGCTTGGTGGGAGTCTGGATGTACAACCAAAAGGCCGGCGCAATCGAAACCCGAAAAGCGCGCAAACCTCAAAGCCCCTAAGCTCCGCAAACTCTCTAAACCGCCTACAAACCCCATAAACTCCCTAAACCCTAAACTCCCCAAACCCACTGGCCCTGGGCGAAGAAACAAATCTTTAACTTGCAGTCCTCTCCGCAGGGGCCGTCCGCTGCCAACAAGGCGCAGCCGGTTTAGCGAAAGCCATGAACTTAGAGCCAATGTCGGGGTTAGGCTTTAGAGAAGACTGCGAGGCATTCAGGCCTTCGAGGTGCTGCTTAAGCATTGTCATGCTTTTGTTTTGAGGGCTTTTACGGTTTCATGATAGCTTTGGTTGGGTTAAGGCCTAACCCTGAGCCCTAAACCCTTAAGCTTCAGAGTTGCGGTTCAGGGTCCAGTGGCAGACGGCTCAAGGCAGTTTGGAGCCTGAGGAGTCTCCACTACTCGGAGTTTCATTGGAGTCAACTCCGTCCTGAGCCATGAGGTTCTTTGAAGGGTTCCTTTAAGGGTTCTTCTACAGGGTTTAGGATAATGTGTAAGGTTTAGGTTTTGGGGCTTATAGGATCTAGGATAAATATATGGTATCTAAACCCCGGAAAGAGCTTTGGAGCCACAAGCTTCCTGGGCCTCCCAACTTGTTGCAGTGCTTCCTTCGTCTCTTGGAGATCCAGACTCCTGGGCCAAACTCTCCCCAATCCGTGAGCAACACCATCTACAACAACCCATTCGCTAAGACTTTCGTGAGTTTGCGGCGATTAGCCCGAACCGAATTTTGATGATGACACCCCTACACCGTAAACCACTTAAGCCTAAACTGGTTTGCGGTCGAAGCCTAAACTTTATACCGTAAACCACATACGCAAAACCGAAAACAGCACGCTAGACTCTTCTATAGAGCCTCATAAAACAACCTGCACAACCCTACCCTTGCCAAGCACATAGAGCCCGTTGAAAAGCACGCTCTTAGTCCCATAAGTTCAGGAAGAGTCCTTTAATCCCTTTCCCCAGAGCCGGTTGGGGGTTCCTCGACCCTAAACCCTAAACCTTAAATTAAACCCTAAACCCTAATGCCTAAACCCTAAGCCCAAACTATTAGCTGGTTGTTGCAAAATGGCCTCGGAGGCCTCGGATGGTGCGGCACCTGTTGAGATGACACGCCTCGCGCGAAGTCACGACGCCCTTTAAGGAGGGAAGCAAAAGACACGAACGGGTGTTTTAGTTTATTGAGACAAGGGTTCAGGGTTTAAACCGACAAGGTTTTTGTGCTGCGTTCCTACTCCTTTCAGCGCCTCATGTGCCGTCAGTCGTCCTCATGTCCGCGACTCGCACAATGAGCGGCTTACTGCCGGAGCCAGCTCGTCGCCCTGGAAGAGAAGAGCTTAGGGTCTGGGTTTAGGTTTTTAGGAGGAGACATCAGGCGATGCTCCGATTGTGCGATTGAAGCCATAGCCGCGGGGTAATTATTCGCGCAGCTGGAGCATCAGTTCTTTGCGGTATATTGGGAAGCGGCGGACATCGGCAGACGAACTACGACTTCACGGCAGCATCCTCTTTGATGCTTTCTGCCTGCGGCTCAAGATCCGTTCACTGCAAACAGCAAGGACCTTGCTCATGCGCAGCAGTCGTCTACCGGCGTAGCTTACTTGTTCGGATTTGGCTTGCCAGACGCGAACGGCCAGGGAACCGAAGCATCGCCACCCCTATCTCCCAAATCCCGAACATCTAAACCTTAGCTGTAGCGCTGTAGCAGTTAAGCCTTAGGAGCCCCAAACCCGAAACCTTGAAGCCACAAGCCCTTCGGCAATGTCTGGCCTCTCCTCCCGCGGCTGGGACCCTCCATGCAAAACGATTCTAGGAGAGCCAGCTACGAACATGCGATGCCCCGTTAGTAAATATGTGGGGCTTGGGGCCGTAGGGCTTCACAGCATCCGAGGGAGAGCGACTCTTCGATCCTTTGGGAAAAAAGGGCCCTAGGGTCTTAAAATTTTCGGGTTCAGGGTTTAGGGCTCAGAGTTTAGACCCTCAGCCCTAAACCCTAAACTCTAGTCAAGTCTAGGGTTCAGGGTTTCAGAGGTTGACCGTTTCAGGTTTTGGCGGTTTAGCGTCCAGGCGTTCAGGGTCGTTGTGGATTAGAGTCATTGAGCCATGAGCACTATCAGCAGCAGTTCGCAGCAGTCGACGCTTCACTTTGTGGGAGCCTCAGGGCAGGTCAACGGGGATCCGAAGACTGTTTTGGGTTTAGGGCTTACGTCTGCGGTTTTTCAAGGGTTGAGACTGGGATTTGGAAAGGTTTGGTTGGGGGGTTTGTGCTGTAGGGTTGTTGAAGCTTCTATTAAAAGCACTATGCAAGCCTTACGCTGTAAATCCTTAACTCGTAACCTGCAACGCCTAAACCATACTATGCTTCAGGTCTCGCCCCGTGCCCAAAAGGTTGGGGATGTTTCTAGGCCTAAGGCAAATGCTAAATCCCACCCCTGGACCGTTCCTGTAAATACACATGATCCGCAACCTAGTCCGCGTCGTGACAGGCCCTACAACGAGACGTGTGAAACCCAAAATCGAAGGTAAAAGCTGAAGCTTACAGTTCAGTTAAGTTAACCCGTACGAAACCTCGACCCCTGACTAAACTTAAATACCTACGCCGACAACCCGACATCTACCCCGAACTCTACGTCAAACTTATGAAACGGCAAAAGGCCCATGTGCCATGTGAAAACACACTCTAATCCCAAAGCGCGCCCTCACCGTCAGAGGTCTTACCCAACCCTTCATGTAGCCTGACCTTAAAACCCTCGAACCCAGAAGCGAAACAACAAATCAAGAAGCCCGTGATAAACCCTGGTACACCGCCTTATGTCTAACTCTTCAGAGCACCATTGGACCCCGTACACAGACCTCTGAAGTCCTACTGACACTACCCGCCATGTGCAAGATTCCTATCTTCAAAAACTGAACAAAACCCGTGTAGAGCTTTGCTGAAAACATAGAATCGTAGGACTCTCGTGGAAAATCCTTATGGAACCAGCATGGAATGAACCCTTATCGAAGCCTTCTAAAGTCCTGTTAAATCCCTTCTAGAGCCCGTGTAGTCCCTGGACCCTAAACCCTATACCCTAAACCATGAAATCCTTAGCCGGAAACCCTGAACCACAAAGCCTGAACTCTAAACCCTGAACCCACATGAAGCCTTGCTAAACCCTAAACCCTGAACCCCCCGCTTCACATTAAGCCCTCCATGTGCTAGGTGTTGCCATCCGTGGCCGTGCTCGGCACCTGCCTGGCGCCGGCGATCCTGGTGGCCGTCGCACGGCGACCAGGCCCGGTGGTTCACGCGGCCAAGGTGGGGTTTGGGGTTTATAGGGTTTGGGAGCTTCAGCATTTCTTTTGGTGTCTTTTTTTGGGGTTTAGGGGGCCAGGGGCTTACGGGGCCAGGGATTCGGAGTTCAGAGTGTTGGGGCAGGTTTTATGGGCTTGAGAAGGTTTTGGTTGGCTTTTTCAGAACCTTTATGAGCTTTTACAGGGTCGTGTAGGTTTGATAGGAATCCTGAGAAACCTCATCCTAAATCCCTTGAGCCCTAAAGCTTCTGAAGCCACCCCCGAAGCCCTAAACCCCTACTCCCTAAGCCTCGAAGTCGAAACCCCTACACTCTGAACCGTAATCCCTAAACTCTACTCCGTAGTCCGGAACCCTAAACTCCAGAATGCCACCCTCCAGAGGCTCGCAATTGGGGGAGGAGGCCAGGAATACGGTGGTCAAGCCGCTGTGAGGCCCTCGGTTCTTCCAGGAACTTGCGGTGTTTAGGAGTTCCCTTGCGATGGAGGCCGTGCACGAGGATCCACACACAGGCTGCTCTCTTTCGGTCCGAATTCTTGCCTCAAAAGCCTGCAGCCGAATTCGCTCCTGCATCTGGCTCTAGATGGTTCCTGTTAAGACACTTGAGAATCGTTGTTGCGGGTGTGCACTGGCTTAGAATCAAATATATTACAGATCCCTAAAGCACAGGATCGTTACGACAAGGAGCCGCGAAGCTTAGGAGAACACCCGCGTGATTCGGTCCCCGGCTTTCCCTGAAGCCCTAAACCCCCAAAGCCTGCAATCCTAAACCTTAAACCACCCTGTATACTCTTTTCGCACCTCACCATTCCAACATCCGTATATAGCCCTTCAAAATCAAGCCCTCATGCGTGCAGCACCCTTCGAAGAGCCTTTTCCAATCTAAGGTCACTGCTCTCTTTGCTGATCATCCTGCTCTGCTGTGTCTTCCTCCTGTCAAACTACAGCACCTTGTCTTTCATGGTTTTAGTTTTGGAGGCATTGCGGCTGAAAGGCTTAACGGGTTTGGGGTTCATAGGGGTATGGGCTTTGGGATTGGTGGGATTCAGGCTTTGGGGCGCTGTTGGGCGCGTAATGTCGAACGACAACCCTGCTTCCGTGAGTGGCTTGGGCGTTTTAGGTGTTTAGGGTATGAGGATTTAGGGTTTAGGGACTTTGTTTCTTTTAGGGTTTGTTGTTCAGGGTTTAGGCTTCATGGAAGCCCCGAGTTTCTTGAAAAGCCTCAGACATCAACCGGGTCAATATCTTGTAGGTATCAGTGAAGTTAGGGATTGAGGTGTAGAGTTTAGGATGCAGTGTTTTGGGTTTAGGGTTTCGGGTGTAGGGTATAAGAGCCTTGAGTCCCTACTCTGGCCTGGCCTACATGCGGTGGTCCCATGCATCGAGGATTTGGGCCTGGGTTGCTCTGAGTTCCGTCCACGAAACCCAACAGGCAACACCTTCCTAGCAGGCAAGAACACATTCCGAATGAACTTGCCCAAGCAAGCTTCGACTTAGAGCTGATAGATTCAGTCTTTAGGGCTCACCAAGATTTTAAACTAGGTGTCTCGTGAGAGCTTAGGGTCTTGCGATTAGGGCCGTCTAGGGCTTACTCAGCTGCTCACTCCCGTGGGGGAATCATAGACCCTACGTGCTCAGGTTCACGACAATATGCCCTAGGCCCTAAGACCCCAAATAAACCCTACGTCCTAAAACCCTACACCCCAAACCCTAAGCTCTCTGCTAAGCCCCCTATAGATAGACATGGCTCTGAGAGCCACAGACTGGCTTCCTCAGAGGAGTTTTGACGTAGGCCTCCGGAATTGCGGATCGCTTGCAGTGTGACCCGCGTCGGGGTTTATGGGAAGACGGGATTTCATAAAGGATGCGCTACCCCCTAAACTCAGGATCATTTCTAAATATCATAATCTGGACTGTCTGGGAAGTCAGTAGAACTATCTTGCAGGGCAGGGGATTTAGGTAGTGTTTGAGCAGAGTGCTGCGAACGTTTTGGCTCTGTGTTAAGGCCTTCTGTTTTGTGAAACTCTCATGTCACTCAGCCCCAGGCCTCCAGGCCCTAAGCCTGGAACCCCAAAACCTAGAAACGCTCAAAATCCTAACCCCATTGCCTAAAAGAAGCAAGGTGTCAGCAACCTTTATCTCTTCGCCGTGTACAGCCTACTCTTGGCTTTGGCAAACCTTTTAGCTGACCGACTGGTCAGGCAGAAGGCCCGGGAGTAGTAAACCCAGACCCTAAACCGGTGAAGAAGCCTCAAGCCCTGAAGCCTAGACGCAAACCATGGAGAGTTTGTTACACCAAAACCCTAAACTGTAAAAAGCAGTACAGCCGAAACCCCAATCCCACAAGGCTTCGAGTTTAGTTTTGCCCCGTCTCACCCAGTCCCTAGGATTTGAGGGTCCAGTCACGCCGCCCCCTGAAGGAAATACCCGGCCTGATAACTATTGGAGAACAGTTACTTCATAGAGGTATGGAATATGGTAAGAGTAGAGTGATCTGTGGAGATCATTGAGATCATTGGCAAATTGGTATAGAAGCATCAAGAGTGCTTGCTGGCTTTGTTATGAATGTAGTCTTTACTGCACTACTATCTTCTTGTAACCATTTGGTAACTTTGTTGCCAGATTTCAATCGGTCCTTGTTTCCAACCAAATCCCCAACGAATTGCACTACACTCACTAAGGTCTCCAAAAGCCTGTTCCAGTCACTAAGGCCCCTACATGAAGTCCGAAGCCCTACAGCTTCAACCGTTTTTGGTGTTTGAGTGCTCCTGGTGTCAGAGGTTCGGTCTGAAGCAAAGGAAAGGCCTTCAGGGGTGTGTGCCGGCTTCATCTAAGTTTATGGTAACTTATGCATGCCTCATCTTATCTTACCTGGTCTTGTCATGTCTGCGCTTTTGCCTATGCTGCTTACAATTTTGATCATTTTGGTTACCATGCTCCGTATCTTAGCTGATCTTGCTTATTCAACCTCGTTCCATCCCACCCCATCTTATTTCATGTCACCTGATCTGGTCAGATCTGATATTACCTTCTCTGATCCAACCCAAGGTCTTGTCTGACATCCTTTCTCCTTCTAACTTCTAACTCTGCCCATCTCTCTCTCTCTCTATGTGTGTGTATTTATGTATATGTATATATATATATATGCATTTACACATACATGCATGCATACATACATATGTACAAATCTTACGCTGTCCTATCTCGTGTCATTCATCGTACTGTATCTTGTTTAAATCAGATCTCTTCCTTTGTCTTGAACTTGTCGTGCAATCCGGAAACCCATCGAACTCCGAAAGCCTTGTTGCGTCTAGAGCTCGGGCGAAAAAGGCTTTCATGGGTTCACAAGGGGTTTAACAAGACTCTGGATAAGGTGTTTCGTATTTTGACAGCCTGCATGACTAGTAGTCAACTACGCAGACTTCCAATAAATTCCTGAGAGTTTCCAAATCTAGTTGTAGAACGGCTCGTCTGAGGGGGTTTGGGGTTGGTTGCAGCAGACGTACCTACGACGGTCTAGATTGCTCGGTTCTTCGGACCCCTGCAGCATGGGGCTTATAAAGTGTAGGGTTAAGGGTTTTAGGGTGGGGGTTAGAATGTGGGGTTTGGACCTGCAGGTTCAGGCTCAAAAGCCCCTAAGACGCCTAGACCCTAAATCCTAGACCCAAACGCTACGCCCTCTCGAAGCCCGGTCAGGTCTGGCCATTCCTGGCCGTCTGGCACTTCTTTAACCTGCTGCCCATCGTCTCAAGAAGTGTGCATCATTGACTGGCAAGGGTTTTGGGCTTTAGGGTTTGAGGTGCTGGGGCTTTTGTGGCTTAGTGTTTGAGGATTGGATGTTTAGTCTTTTGGGTTTTGGGGCTTTTTGATCACGAGTCTTTGGTTACAGAGTGTTGTTGGGCCATCAACGATGTTTGTCTTTGGTCCGAGTCTTGGTTCTGAGTTGCAGGGTTTCTACACGGGCATGACTCTACAGCTTACATCAATCTGAAACCCAAACCTGAAACACCCGGATGATAGCTTTGACTGCCGCATTGCTTAGGACTGCTGCGCAGGGTCGCTTCAATGCGTTGATATTCTAATAAGCTTGGTATCGGCGACCCGCGAGCCATGCTTGGATGGAGGAGGACAGTACAATGTTTGCTGCTACTTATCATTCTCTTCATTTTGAAGATGATGTGGGCCGGCACGGAGCTCTTCAAGGCGGAGGACATTGCGGCAGAGATGGCTTCACTCCCTGGTACAGAGTATACGATAGCAAAGGTTCACAGCAGAATCGGGACTAGACTAGCACCATCCAATCTGACCAGTGTTCATCAGAATGCTGGGATCCTAAGCGAGCCAAGATATTTATAGGCAGGACCTCCGTATGGAACCCGCCAAAACAGAAAGCGCTACGATGCCTTCCGGTCTGAGTTTGAGATGTACACGCGGCGTGACGCGAACCATACATTCAAGTTGGCAAAACTTCCCAATGCTGGGTTCCAGTTTACGGATCTTCACGGGACGCACGACCACAAGACATTGGTATTGGGATGCCGGGATAAAGCCCTGCGGGGCAGCCCGAACTGGACCAGTTGGTACTATTCCCCACCAGATCCAGACAGCTTTTCGACATGTGAGATTACCGTTCCTGGAACTGCAGTGTTCTTTCGTGGCCTGTCTTTTGGCAGGTTCATCTACGGCGCCCTCCTGCACGACATACTTCCTCCGGTACTTTGGTTGTACGATAACGAACCAAATGCCACGCCAGTTTTCGAGGTCGAGAAATCTGGAAAAGTCGTCGATTTCATGAAGTGGTTCGACCCAGCTCTTGATTCCAGAACGCCCTGGTAAGACTGTCTGTGCAGAATCACTGCTGGTGATGGTGCTGCATCGCGACATCGTCCACCCCGAAATCCTGCGAAGTGCACAGCTGTTTACACATTTCCGGCAGCACTTTTTCAAAATACATTCCCAGAATCCAGTCAACTCTGTGGT